TGAGGGAGCACAGCTCAGCCTTCTTTACTACCTTGAGGACTTTTATTTTCCTGTCTCAGATATTTCTTCTTCTTAACCACTTGTATTGTTCTTGGGAAATCCTTCCCATATTTTAATTTGCCTCTTTACCCATTTGAGTCTCTGTGAAACATGTGGGTACTCCAGGCAGGCTAATAATTTAGAAACCCATTAAAACAATAGTCATTATATATTTTTCAACATTTATTTGGGATAGAGGCAGAACATCTAGGAAATGCAATTAGCCATTCTTTCTCATTTTTTCATAAGACCTTCAGTAAGGTCTTTCAAGGAGTTTCAGAGTCTGATTTTGTGTTCTTTTGAATGTGACTCCATCCTAAGAAGGACCTTGGGGAATGACAAGTGGATGTGTGTGCTTGCACACAAACATGCATATATCTTGGTTATAAATATGTACATATCCATATCCTTGCTCATTTACCTTAGAAGTCCTCACCTGATATTGTTGGGATTGTTGGTAAGAGTTATTTTTTAAAAGTCAGTTAAAATCAGAAATCATTTATTTTAAATGATCATAATACCTTAAACACTCCATTTTTAGATAAATTCTGTAAATGTACATCAATTCACCACTCTTTTATTATAGGGCTAAGATCTTTTCTTAAAAAAATGTGAGTCCACTGATTGTGATGTTCCACTGATATTCTTGCACAAACCACCTACAATTTCTACTTGCAATTGTTTCAAGTCAACCAAAAACTTAAAGTCATTTTCAAAGCTGAGTGCAGAATTATTCTAGAATTTTATATTTTTTTCCCAATCTTATACAGTTGCCTTGCTTTTACCTATCCCAGAGGCAGCTCATTTTTTTCAGTGGTTCAGTTTTATCAAGTCTTTCAAAAGCATGTACATCACTTGTATTTTTGTACTCATATTTCACTGGATTTTGTAATATTAAATTACATAACAATCACAATAAAATTAACACACAAGTCACAAGTAGATTAGAAAATAGACACAACTGACTCTTTAACCAGTAGCTCAATTGAGGGAAACAAATGTGTATCATTGGTTAATTTGGCAAGTTGGTTAAATAGACGTTGATAAGGAAAGCTGTGATTATGTGTATGTGCAGAGAGGCACTGCATTAGGAGGCACTAATTTAGCTGCTAATGGCTAATGTTTTTATATGTGGTACCCATGTGTGTATAGATGAAATGGTCATTTATATCAGAGATCCATATTATTTACTCCCTTTAGATATCACACTCGATATTTCACATGTAGTTCGTGCTTAATAGAGTCACATCACACACAGAGCTCATGTTGCCCTCTTCAGTTATCCAAACTCAAATATTATACATTCAAATTCTTACTTAGGTTTTTCCTGGTCCCTATAGACTTTCCTCAGGGTTCCAGGTCACAAAGACCCAATGAAACATAGCTCTTGAAATATGCTATTTTGCACTGGCTTCCTGCCAACCCTTGAATGGACTATTTCTGAATCAATCCTCAGATGTATCATCTCCCCAATTAGACTGTAAACTCTCTGATAATGGAACTGTGTTTATACTTCCATGGAGCCTCCCAGAATATAAATTCTGTGATAGATGCCTGGTTGAGAACCATTAATCACTTGCCAATTGACTAGTCCAAGATCACCTATGGGATTTGAAAGTACCGAGAAAAATGATCACTAAGGTTGAGATTGGCAATGAGCAAGGTGGTCAAAATACTGCAAGAAGGGGGATAAAACAAAGACATACCACACAGTAGTTCTTTGGATAAATTATTTTTTCCTTCAGTGTCTGCATGGGTGGCATGAGAGACTAGACCAGGTCAGTGACTCTTAAAGCTTTTGAGATCATGATAATCTTTGAGAATCAAGTATTCACATAGAAAATCTTGCATACAATTTCTGAAAGTCCTGAGACACATGGACCACATGATCTCCAAGATTCCACCCAGCTCTGATAACCAGGCTGAATTCTAACATTGCCAACAATATGTGACAAATTGAACCAGTGAGTGAGTCTTGAGTACTTGAATCAACGAATTGGGTTTTGAGTAGCCACTGCTGGCTGCATTGTCTGTGACCCACCTGAATTCCCCTGCCCAGCCACCTCCCAAAGGCTGAAGTGGGGGGTACCTGGCCCAATCCTACCCTACTACTTGGCAAAGTGCTTGAAGTGCATGCCCTGCCGGTGGCTGGTGGCTGTCCAGGGGTGGCAGCACATTCTCAACTTCTCCCCAGTAGCTTTTTCATTGTTGGAAAAATTGCTGAGATAGTGTTGCTATGGTGATCTGACTTTGTAGTTAGGATAAAGTGATTTTCTTTAGTCAAAAAAGATAAAGCTATTGTTGAGGATGATTTAAGACAATACTTTTGCCTGGTTATCTCTCTCTCTCAACCTCACCTTTGCACTTTTGTACCTTAAAAGACTCTAAAAACATTCTAATGAAAAACCCATAATGAAATCAGAGACAAAATGTTAAAGGTTTTGAACTGGTATTCAATCTCTGTGAACTTTCTTCTCCCACTCTATATAATGAAATTAAATGTTAATGATTTCAATCTCTTATTTGCTGAAAATAGTTTTCTTTCCCACATTAAATGAACAACACATACAAAATCATTTCCTATTTGTTTTACTGTAATTTTTACATGAAGATTGGTGCAGATATTTGCCGGTAGCCCTGGGTATATAACAGCCCATTCTGAGAACAGGTATGAGTTATTTCCTCTATAAATATAACAAGGGAAGCTTAGCAAAGGATAACAGGAGAGTTTTATCTAAAGATCACATCTTTTCTGACTTTACTTTTAGGGATCCCCTGTGGCTTTCCTCTGTGAAGGGATTTTGTTCTAATTTGAGTTTGTAAATGTGTTTCATTCCACTCACTGAGGTTTTCCCTTTGATGATAAAGTTAGTTGACATGAGAAGCACACCTTTAGGGAAAGAATGTCAGGAAGTAGAAGCCAGCCCTACTATGTCCATGGGCTTACCCTGTGAACTCTGCTTTTACACACACACACACACACACACACACACACACACACACACACACACACACACACACACAGAGCAAACTGCTTACTCAGCATGGCGATCCTGAGGAAGCATCCACACTGGGTTTAAGGAACTCCATTTGGCTTTCAACAATTCCCGCTAATGGAAAACTAGGCGAGCAATCTCTGCTTCATCCAGGCATCTCCTTTTAGCAAAATCAGTCTCTATTTCTTTGCCTGGTAGGCTGTTCATCAGAGACAAACATCAAACATTTTGCTTCTGGCCTACCTCTAAATATTTATAAGCAGAAATGCTTAACAATAGAAAAACTGAGAAGTAGCTAGGGAGCAAGCTGAAGGATGGAGAATAACTCCCTACTCTCCTACCTACTGTCACCCCAGTTCTTCATCCAATATTAAGGATTTCTTAGTCTAACTTCAGTCCATCAATCTGAGTTGGCCTCACTATTTATCACCTATGGGACTTTGGGCAAGTTACTTGCCTATTTATTCAGTGCCTTAATTCCCTCCTCTATGAAAAAAATAAAGGTGGTATATGTGTGTTTAATATTAGTACCCCTGCCTAGGGTAGCTGTGAGAAGTAAATTAGTTAAGATATTTGAACAATGCTTGGTACTTTGAAAGCACTTGATTTATTAGCTATTAATGCAAAACCTTCACTCCACTTAGGCCATTTGCACTGTCCCAAGGCTGTGCACAATCATTTCCAACTTTTATCCTATAGTTCTTATTACCTGGAATGTAGTTCTTATTCTTGGAATACTCCTTTTTTCACCTACCACTAGGATGTCCACATAGAGCAGCACTATCCAATAGACATACAATGCAAGCCTGTATGAAAGTTTACATTTTCTAATAGTGGCACTGAAAAGGAAATAAGAAACATGTGAAATTAACTTTAATGATATAACTTAAGCCACTGTATGCAGATATTTTCATTTTAATATGTAACCAATATAAAAATTATTGATATATTTTACATTCTTTTTTTTTCTTTAAAATCTAGTGTACATTTTATACTTACAGTGCATCTCAATTCAGACTAGCCACATTTCAAGTGCTGACTCACCATATGGGCCAGTGGTACCATGTAGGTATAAAGTATGCAGGTATAGAGTCAGCAGGAAGCCAGGGGTTGTTAGCTCTGAGGGTAAGTCCCTTACATAATGGCTAGCACCTGCTGAGTGTTTACAATATGATACCAGATACTATGCTGAGGATATATACCTCATTTAATCTTTATGGCAGTTCTCCTAGGTAGGTGCTTTTATTATTCCTATTTTACAGATGGGAAAACTGAGTCTTAAAGAAGTAGAAGCCAGTAAGCTAGTAAGTAGTCAGGATTTGAACTCAGTTCTCTACAACTCAAAACTTGCACTCTTCCCTTCTGTATACTGCCTCCCAGATGAGAGCTATAAGCAAAGGTCTGCCTTCTCCATACATAGGGTGCTTGGAAGGACGGGCACAGTTGTGCAAGTTGCTGATAGTAAGAATGTCCATGTACAGATCCTTCTTGGGTTTTCCCATGGCAATTCATGCAATTAGTCACCCTATAAAACTTATATTTGTTTATTTTGTGAGCAGATTGTGAAAAGATGGAATCTTTGCTCTTCTGACCTCTGGAGATGGGGACTGCCAAAGAGAGCCTTGTTTATGAAACATCTGGAAGGCAGAGTCCTTGAAAATGAATTCCTATGTGAGGACCTTTTCATTGTACTCAAGGCCGTGCTAGGAAAAGTGGATGGTCTTAAAACAGTGTTTAAAACTGGCCCTAAAAATGATCTACTTGCTTTTATTGGCAGAGACTTACAAATGATGACCTATGATTTAAAATCAGGATCACTTTCAGATAGGAAATGTTAACTCACTTTTATGAGTATTGCTTCCAGAGTTTAAGTAGTTTAAATGCTGTTGGTTTACAGAGCCAGCTAGCTTCCCTTCCCTCTGGTATTTCTGAACTACTGCCTCTTCTTCTTTTTAATCAATAAAGGCCAGATTTCGACAAGACTTGGACCTTAATCCAAGAGCAGATCCAGATGGACTCCATGGTTATCAAGGGCCTCCATCCAGATACCAACTACCAGTTTGCCGTGAGGGCAGTGAATTCCCACGGCCCCAGCCCCCGCAGCTGGCCCAGCGACACCATCCGCACCCTTGGTGAGTACCGTGGCCTTTCTGACGGGCAGATGTGGCTGCGTGCTGGGGTCGCCTCATGAGGCCTCTCTTGACTGCGGTTTCTTGGAGCCCTGCAGAAGGACAGCCCGGGAGGGGGCTAACCAGGCTTTCCTCCCGTGGTTTTCCCAGCCCTTTGGAAGCTAGAGGCTCTCAACAGGGACACAGGCTGATTCTAGGTCCAGGAGGTCAGCAGAAGATTTATTTTTGCATCATCCTTGGGGAGTCTGAGGTCAGTTTTGTTTCACAATCACAGAACAGACCACATAGCAAAATGACATGCAGCCTTCCCCATCCCCTTTCATCTTTTGAGAAAATGAGCTCATCTTACACCATAGGAGAAAAGACTAAGGCCCCCAGGCTTAGTGTTTGCCTGCAAATCAAGGGCATTCAAGTAACATCAAGCCTCTGAATGGTGGTCAGGAAGTATTGAAGATGCTGTTGGAGAGCTGACCTGCAGCCGGGGGTCCACCAATGGCGTTGGTTCTCACACTGCCTCTCTGAGAGCTAGGGGAAGCGTAGGCCAGTGTTTATCAAATCCCTGGGGGATTTTGTTAAAAGTCAGATTCTGTGTCTGGTCCGGGGTGTAACAAGCTCCCACAGGATGTCAGCAACCACACTTGGATTAGCATGAGCTTACACTGCCTTGCCAAGCCCAGCCCAGGTTAGAAATTTTTGTATTTTGGAAATGGCAGGGACATTTACCTCAACCCAGAACGCTGTGTAGTTGAAGAGCTCAGAACTGAAACGTTGGTACTTTTTTTGTTTGAAGACGGATCTTTTCAGTTTTGCCAATAAATTCCTCCAGAAGAGCTCTGCTGATTCTCCGGGTCCTCCGTAGCCAGGAAAGGAGCTCTCAGAAGAAAGCCTGGCGGTGGTAGCTGGCTTTCCGCTGGCCGGCACAAAGCCCTGTTTTTCTTGGTTGGTGGATCTGAATAAACTTCTCCCCTCTCCTCATAAAACACCCACTGAGCCGACTTCCAAGACCACTGCTGCTTTCAAGAGTAGAGATTCATGAGGTTCCCCAAGTCCTAGAAATTTTGGCTCATGTGAAAACAATCCTTATCCTAACCTTGAATGTTGTGTCTCTTTCCTTCAGATTAAATTGTCAGGGTATGTAGTGAGGCCACACCTCCAAAACACACATACATTCAACCTGTAAGCATGATCACCCAGCAATTATTTCATTCTTCTCCTTTAGAATTTAAAAGCCAAAACTCCCGAGGCTCATGCCGAGGGACGAAGCTCCTTCTGTCTAGAAGAAATGTTGACAATGCTATTTCAAAGGCAGGCCTGGTTCGATTCTTGCTGGATGAGATGGAGCCTTTATCTTTGGTTGAATTTTGTGATATATGGCCAGAATTTGGAGTAACAGAAGCGAGGGGCTGATTGCACTTTGAAGTAGTTTGTCTTTTCGTATTACAAACTGAGCAAGGGACCCTGTGTGCCCCGCACCTCTCCCAACACCGAACTCCTCTCCCATTTTGTGAGCTGCCCCGTGCTTACCTCCTTCCATCTGTCCCTTAGTATCCCCAATCCATGGAGTCGGGAAAGGAGAAGAAAGAGGAAATACAACAGCTCTTGCTGACCTTGATTATGGGTGTGGAGACTGGAGTTGGGGAAGGATGGGTGGGTTGGGCATCTCTCATACTGTTCCTTTTTTAACTGGAAATACTGGTCTGGTCTTGGAGTTTCTGACCATTATTTCTGTGTTACTGGATCTAAGTTTTCTGGATTAAGTGGGATAAGGTATGTGAATGTGCTTTACAGGTATGTAACATTTTTATTGTGATTGGTCTCTTATGTGAAGTGAAATTTTGTAATTTCAAAGTAATTGTGTGCAGTGGAGGTGGACAAAACCATGCTAATTCAGTGAAAACTCCCAGGTATGAAATATTTTTAAGTAAATATAATTGTACTGCTTCTAGGTGTATGTGGCTATTCAAATTAGGAATAGAATTTATTAGATGACCTGTTTCATGAATACATAAGAATGTGTTGTTATTAGCATTTCAATTGTAGTTTTCCTCTTGATCACTTCTAATGTTTTAGGAAACCCTTTATTCTGGCACAGATTCACATCTCTTATTTTGGTGTTGGTTTAGACTATTATTTTGCTTCCAAAACACTTTTTTCTGTACATAAAATTACCTAATTACTGCATAGCACTATCTGAATTATAATAAATTCTAAGTATCAGAGCCACCACTGGGAAAGCCAGGAACTGTGCATTGTGTTGACCACTCTACCTATGGAATCCATTTCATCCTCACAGAAACCCTGTGCTGGAGGAATAGTACCCCCTTTCTACAGATTAAAAGAAAAACATCAAGTCTTTGAAAGGTAATGAATTTTACTGAAATTGATCAATGTAAAGGCAGGATTTGAACTTGGGTTTGCCTGCCTGCAAATCTACTTCCCTGAGTGAGATGCAAATTAGGTTATTATTCTGATGCAAAGTGGCATGAGAATGGTTAAGGTTAGCAATTAGATAAAGGACAGGGGACAGTCTGTGTGGAATATATGTACTAAGGAAGCTCTGCCAGCACAGAATAAAACCTCTTAAGGGTTGTTTTGGGTTTTGGTTGGTTTTTAGTTTTAAAACTTTGGGAATTTTTTTTTCCTTTTGGAATTGGCGTTGAACCTTTTTTGGGGGTTGAAGTTCACCCGTTTTGCTTGGTTTTGTTCTTGTTGTTTTTTGGCCGGCACCTTTTTTTTTGGCCCCAACCCAGGCCGTTTCATTCTTTTGGGCCTTCCTTGATTGCTTTTGTGGGTTCTTTTTTTTTCTTCTTGTTTTTCCCCTTTTCCTTGGTTTTTTGTTGGCTTGGTTGCCCTTTTTGTTCCTTGACCGTTCGGTTTTGGACCCCATTTTTCAATTTTCCGTTGGGACCCTTGAGTTCCCGCCGGCCCCGGGCCTTCTTGGGGTTCTTGTTTGGTTGTTTTTTTTCAGGCCCAACTTCCCCTTTTTTTTTAGGGAAGTTTATTCTTTCGGCCGGGTTGCCCGGGGAGGCTTTTCTTTCCCCTTGGGCTTTTTCTTGCCGGCCCTTTTTTTCACTTTATTTGTTTATTGGGGCATTTGGAGGCCTTTCTTGCGGGAGTTTATTGAAGGCCGGGGCCCATTTTTTTCTTTACCTAGAGCTCAGCTGAAGTGAGGAAGAAGGATGGTTTTGGTGGTTTCGCTGAAGTGTTGAGAAGTGTGTACAATGCCCACATCTTAGCTCCACAAAATTACAAGTAGAACAGGGAAAATAATCGAGACGTTAGTGTCCAGGTCCTCTAGTGAGAGTGAGGATCACTTTGGTGACCTTGAATAGTAATGATGCTTCCCTGTATCTACATGTACTTCCATCCTCTCGTGGGAGGCTTTCTGCACAAATCAGCTCCTGTTTCATCTCTGTGAGGAAATACAAAGAAAACCAAAATCACCATCTGATCTCTCCCTTCTTACCCCCAACCAGCTGTATTTTTTTCCTACAAGAAAGAAGCACCAGCATATAATTTGCCTTTGATCTTGTAAATGAGGCAGTTGGTGTACAGAACCCCAGCTTTGCAGGATAGTATTAACCTCATCTGTTGGTCACTGACTCACTGGGATCGAAGCTTAGTTTAATCAAAAAGGATGACGGTGATAAAATGACTGAGCAGTAAATAATAGAAATGGCAGGAGTAAAAAGATCACGTGTCTTTCTTTTTTTCAAAGAAAAAAATTAATTAAAAATAACTTACATGGGTGATAACTCTAGGATCATATAAAATCCCCCTGGGGATGGGATTTTGTCCTACCACCCCAAATCATTTAGTTTCTGGGGTTCTAGCTTCATGACACATGGAGAGGTAGAGACAATAAATTCTTCACTGACGGGAATTTGTTATTTTGCAGCAGTCACTAGCAGGTGTTCTTTCTGTACCTAGCAAAAGCTATATTGCTCTTTTCTGTCCTAGGGTCTTGACACCTGCTATGTCCTCTGCCTGGAACTCCCTTTTCCCAGATTTTTCCATGACTGTGACCCCTTCTTCTCTTTCTTCTTTCAGACCCTTGACCAATGTCACTTCCTCAGACAGGCTTCTGTTATCTCAACTCCATTACCCTGCCTTATTTTCTGCATAGCATTGTCGCTGCCTGAGACTATTTTATGCATTTTATTATGTGCATCTCCCTCTAGGATAAACTCCACATTGGAACTGGAATGACCTATTCAGTGCTGTGTTCCTAACACTCTATACAAAGTCAGTGCTCAGCAAATCCTTATTGACTCCATGAATGAATGAATGTGACTTAACAAGCCAAGAGCCTGTGACTATTTTGGAGGTTGGATAACTTCCTACTGCTACTGTTTGGGAAATTCAAAAGCAAGATGAAAGTAAAAAGTTGATTTAAAAACCCATGAGGCCAAAAGTGAATTTCCCATTGGCAAGGTGCATAGGCAAAGGGGAACCCCCAGAATTGCAATGTGGCATCAATATGGAAAAGGTAAATAAATAGAGTAAAGGGAGGGAGGAAGGAAAGAAGGGAGAAAGCAAATCCAGTGAATATAAATTCAAGCCAGTAAGGATGGAAAGGAAACCTTCCTTGGAGGAAAGAGTCTAGTGATGAAGAGAGTACATTTTGCTCAGGGGGGTGATGAAGGCAGAGACATTTTCTAACCTCTTTCAAAACAAGCCCTCAGTTTGCTCCTGTGTTCTTTCCTGATCATTAGAATAGAATAAGCTTTAACTTTCCCACACTGCCTTTTTCCTCTGGTCCTAATAAATCTAACTGTGGTTTCAGATCCTCAGGGATTGCATAGGGAAGCTACGAGAGATATTTAGTTTTGGTTTGGTTTCTTCCATACTCTTCTCCCCATAATCTGTTTTCTTCAATAGTTTCAGAAATGTCCTCATCCCCTGAGCTGAGACAAACCCACCCTGGCTCAAATCAGGCAAATTTCTACAATAAATCTGATCCCATGCTGTTGCCCCGCACTCTCCCTTCCCACCCACTTTTC